AATTCTTCCAGCACTAGGACTGTAACAGGGACTGTAGCTGTAACCAGGACTGCAACTGGGAGAACTTTTACAAAGAAGGGAATTCAACTGGAATTTGGTGCTTGTGTTTCTTAGGCTTTGAGCATTCCCACCTAAATTCACAGGGTGCTGAAGGATAAGGCGCCTGTTTTCCTCTTGTTCTCATTTTGTTTGCTTTGTTTGGGCCCTGTCATAGCAGCTCTTGGGCCCAGGCCCAGCACTTAGCAGCAGTAGCACAGGAATTGATTTCAGCAGAAGCAGACAATTTCCTAAATTATTAATGTTAATAGTGGACAAACAAGCAAAAATATACAGAACAAAGAGCTGAAGAGAAGCAAGAGGATGGCAGCCGGAACCATCAGGGCGATGAGAGACAGAACAGGGATAGAGAGAGATGTCCCAGGTGACTGGGACCAAGATGAAGCACATGCAAAAAGGGTTTGGGGAAAATCCAAAAGCAAAGCAGTGCACCCCTTGGAGACGTTCCCAATTGCTATGGATACACTCACTGTTATTATCAGGGTTTTATAACCAGCAACAAGCAGCTCACATTCAGAAATTTGTTTGTGACAAAAAATATGTGCCCCTTGCCTGTGTCAGAAACCAGCTGGGGGGCAGGGGACGCTGCTGTGTTGTCCCCATCCCCTGTGTGGGGTTAGTCCTTGAGGTTGCCTGGTCCATACAACGCTGGGTAGGTCGCTGGCAGCCTGCCTGGCGCGTCCTAGTTGTGTTTCTCAGAGCCCCTTCGTGTTTGCAGCTGATTTGCTTTGACATCAGCAGCCGGCAAGAAGTTCTCTGTGTCGGGGTGTGTGGGAGTGCTATGTGACACCTTAATCATGCTGAACAGGAACACACATTCAGATTTCCTCGGCGTTTCAAAGAAATGTGATTTCCTTTGTGCTGCAGAGAAAGAGTTGACTTGATTGCGACTCTCCGTGGAGATCAGCTCTGGTGGCTGTGAATTAGGGTGCCAGGATCTCATTCAGGGGAAAAAAAGGGAGACAAAACACACTGAGCTTTGGAGCTGCAACCATCAGGGTTAAATTTCTTGCTGGTAACTGGGGGTCATTTTGAGGAGAGCTGTTTAATTTAATTGGCCAATTTATCAAGAAATCAGATTTTGTTCAGAAACAAAAATCTGTATACAGTCAAAGTATCAGGACATATCATATTGAATCCCAACTTTGGAAACAGTTGTTAGTCATTTAGCACAGGCATTAGAAACTAATGCAAAATCCAAATGAGTGACTCACTTGTTTCTCCTCACTTATTTCTCCTTCCCGTATGGGTAAATGAACATTTTCAATCCCCATGAAAGCTCAACTAGGGATGAGAATAAATCAGTACAGATATAACTGAGCATTTGCTGACCCAGATGAGATGAAATAATGGCAGCGAAGGGTTGTGAGAGCCCTGCTAGCACTAGGCTGGGCGAAGAGTGATGGTGACGTAGGGTGGGATTTTATAGCTGCTGTTATTTGTGATATGTGGCAAGGCCATTGGGAAAGCTGGATTTGCTGGTGTGTTCGTCCTGCTGACAGCCTTGCTCATCCCAATGCACAGCACTGCTTGGATGCTCAACACAAAAATGCTTTTCATTTTTTTTCTGATTTGGAAGATAACATTAAAACCACTACACTTGGTGAATTACCATGCATGGTAGTAAGAAAAACTCCTGTTATGTCTGGTAAATACATTTGAGTGATTAGGCTCAATTCAGCAAAGGGCTGCGTTCCTGCTAGATAGGCACCCAAAGCTTTGGGCTGAAACGGGATGTTGCCCAGGAACCCTTGTCAGGAGCAGTGAGGTTTGCCACGGGTTTCACCAGACATGTGAAAATTGTTGCTGCCCAACAGTTTTCGTTTTCAGCACCAAATTAGCTGTTGCCTAACCCTGTTCACATAGCGTGCAGAAAAAGTAGGTCACTCAAGACAGCAGGTATTGCTGGGTTTGGAAATCCACTTCTGCACGACACAGTTCAGCAGCTCCTCTGGAGGAAGGATCACATCTGTTGCCACCAGGCTCCTACCCAAGCTGCCACTTCAAAAGAGCAGTGACGTGCATTCTTCTCCCCGGCGTAATGTGAGGATGCTTTTCCCTTTTCCCAGGTGGACTGCTCTGAGACAGGGAATGTGCCCTTCCAGCTTCAGTGGAAATGATCTTCTGTTTTAATTGAGAGTAATGATAGGCTCACCTTGCCCTCTGAATGAGGGTCTGGATTTCCAGTCTGAGGCTGGAGCATCTCTGCTCAAGGGCAAGCTGAATGCAGGATGAATTCCTCCTCCCATGCCTTGGTCTCTCTGCAATATCCAAAATCCAGGTGCTGCCCAGGAGCAGGATAAGCCCTGCTCCCTGTGGCTGCTGAGGGCCCCAGGGCTGCATGGTGGTGTCCAGGGACAGCAGGATAGTCCACCAGGGGGGTGGCTGCTGGTGGAGCAGCACTGCCATGGAAAGCAGGACAGTACAGACCAGCAGAAGCAGGGTGGGCTTGTCCTATCAGCCTCTTAAGAGGAGTTCAGCACCGCATTGACAATGCTGGATGTTCTTCCATGAGGAGCTGCTCTTTCCCACGGTGCTCAGGTGCTCTCCTTCACCTTGCTCAGGGGGATTAAGGCAGTTTGCAGACCCAGCAGGAGCTTTCCACAGCCCCCTTGCTGTGTTGCCATGCAGCCCCACACCCAAATGGGCTTTCTCTCCCCTCCTGCTCGTGCTGTGTTTAAGCTCTTCACATTGTTGGCCCATGTGGCAGGAGGCAGAGCCGTGATGGCAGGTTTTGGAGCAAATGCAAACAGCAAAGGGTTCTTGGTCCCTCAGCTAAAACACATCAACTTGCATAGTTGTATGGGTTGGAGGGCAATGCTGGAATCAGGCCAGTGTCCATCACTGCTCTTTCTCCCTGGATAGAGCAAGGGGCTCTCTCTCTATCCATTTGTCAGAGCTTGGGGGGATCAGTGTCATTTTAGAGCTGGGGTTAGGCAGTCACACAGAATTACCTGTGTAAAAATACAGTGCAGGGAATGTTAGCTAAGCTTCACTTAGATCACTGCAGATGTGTTATTTTGGGACACATTCATACTGTGCAGTCCTTATTCAGTCAAAACTGCAATTGACGTAATTTTTTCCATAATGTTGCTTTTATTTGAAATCATATCTATACATCTTGTACAAATCAAGCTAATAATAAGCATTTCCATGTCAGACTCTACTTATGGATTAATTTTGGAATTTACTTTATAGACATGATTTGACTTCAGTGGGATTTGTGTCCTTAAAAGGACTGCAGCAACAGGGGACAAATGCTAGAAAGTGGCTTTCTGTCTATAATTCAACATATTTGTTTGTGGAACCCTGAACAATGTTCTAATCTTCCATCTGAAAACTGCCTTGTCACCTCTTGATTTACAGCATTTCCCTTTGCCTTTCCTCTCTACGACTCAATATTTCTTACAAGGCAGGTATTGTCAAATCTCTTTCTTGAAACATATAATAACCACCTTTTGTATCGAACAGGCATATAAATTACTCAGCTTATATGACAGAACAGAAAATAAAGAGTTGAGTATCTGGCAGAGATGCCGAAGAGTGATGTTATTATAACCTTACTGTGAAAGATTTGCCAACAGAAAGTTACATATCAGTGAGGTAACCAATGACAATATTCCCTTTATTACACCAAATACCAGAAAACATTATTGTAGGATGTATTTCCAGACAAATCCCAGCTCTCTTATTGGGATGTTCAGTAGCCATCCTTGTGCATAACAGATGGGATTCATAACTTAAATAGACTCCAGGCACTGAAAGACACATCATCACAGGGGCTGTGCCTGTCAGCATTACAGACGTATTATTCAGATCTCCTTGGGAATTTTTCCAAGATGTTTGTTTTTAAGTGGGAAATAGTGTTCCTGCAAGATTGAAATCTCACAGATTTTCAAATTTTCCTTCATGAAAATTATACCAGGAATAGAATAACTATTTCAAGGGAGAGTGATCGAAATGAAACCAAATCACAGTGCTTGGCTTGGAGCAGTTTCATCCATCCATCCATCCATCCATCCATCCATCCATCCTTGCATCCTGGGATTTATGTTCAGATGCTTTGTCCCTCCAGGTTCTGTGAACAGGCTTGGCTCATCTTCTGGGTGAAGCAATGCATCCACCCTGGCAGCCAGGAAACACCACGACCCTGGGCAAAGAGGCAAAAGGAAACAGAAGGTACACTTGGAGGAAAAGCTGAAGATTTCACTTTATAGGGGAAGATTATAGGACTGAGAGTCAGCTTAGAGAAAAGCATCTGTAGCTGCCTCTCCATGCCAAGCCTCTCAGTCAAACTGCTCAGCCCTCTTTAAGCCTCAGAATCAAGTGAGAGGGTAATCAGGACAGACACGGAAACAGAAACCCAAATTATTATCTAACCAGCTCTGTTCTCGGAGGCTGACTGCATCCCAAGGCAACCCTGTCACCTGGGAATGGTGGGAATGGCTGACCCTCCCCTGAACATCACCTGCAGTACCCGATCGATAACGAGCAGCATTACCGTCAGCACTTTCTGCTTGATTTATCGGTGCTGGTAAACATCACCTGACTTTGGATGGAGGCTTGGGATCAACCTGGCTAAAGTGGAAAAAAAAAAAAGAGCTAAAAGCCCCTGGTCGCCGTTGATTCGCCGTTGGGATTTGGTGCACGGCTCCATCTCATGGCAACTGCACAAATATGCAAGGAAAGAGTCAGAGCTGTGGTTTGGCTTCGGAGGGTGAGAAATGACAACGTTTCCTTCTTCGTAAAATAATCCATATTTAATGGATCCATAATAATCCAAAATAATCCGTAAAATAAATGCCACCAAATCAAACAGATTTGACCGAGACTCTGGAAATCAGGGTCGGGTGCAGCTGAAATCTCGGGGTTGAGCTTCAGGCATGAAAGTCGCACCCAGACTTTGGCTGCTCAGCATCTTTTCTCCCTCATGCGTTAGAGGTGAGTGAGTATCACAGGATTATTTAGGTTGAAAAAGCCCTCTAAGGTCATCGAGTCCAACCTGCCGAGCCCACGACTGAACCACATCCCCAAATGCCGCAGCTACACGTCTGTCAAATCCCTCCAGGGGTGGGGACTCCATCGCAAAAGTTTAGACGTGTTATGGACTCTATAATAGAGACCTATTTATCGTCCGATTCCTCACAGGCTCCGCATCCCGTGGGATGTCCAGCACCGATTGCAGGAGTTCCTGTGGCTGGTCGAGGCAGGAGCCGGGGTGGCCGTGACACCTCCGGGCACCCCTCCCGAGCAGTGCCACTGTCCCCGCAGAGCCCGCGCACCAGCTCCCCGTTCCTCAATCTCTGCTGCCCTCGCATGGCACATCAGGGAAAGAAAATGAGCCTGTTCTGGGCAAATCCAAAGGCAGGACTTGAACAGGACATCTGCCACAGCGATCATCACTGCGGGCTCCAGGCAGTTTGGCAAGTGCTGATGGTCGTTACCCTTTCTGCAGTAACCACACTGAAACATTGATCGTCGCTGCACTTGGGCACATCCAAAGGCGTGTTCAGTAATAAATCTGAGCTTCTCCAAGAAAGATCTTGAAATACAGACTTAACAAACCAACCCATCGATCTGCACGTGTGCAGGCAGGGAGTCCTTGTCTGCTCTTTGGTAAGTGGGGTTTTTTTCCTCTTTGTAATGTCATTTTGCTCTTCACTAATGCTCTCTGTTCAAGGTTATCAGGAAGCTAATCAGGTAGACCTCCCAAGAGCAAATCATTACCTAGGAAAATATTATTCATCCTGAAGACCAAACACAGCCTCAACCCCTGCCTTGAATATATACTAAAGAAGGCTGTTTCAACCCGATGGTAATAATACAAATTTCTTTTGCATTAGGGTCTTCTTACAGCTGTTACTAGTAAACATTGTATTTTATAAGTATCAAATTATAGAGCTGACTATCAAGAAAGTCTGAATTGAATCTGTTTCTCACCTGTGAGAAACTTTGGTGCTCTGAGTGTGGTCATACAGTATCCCACCTCCATTTCTAGTTATGAATTTGCAGACTTTTGCTTTCATTTTATTTAAGCTTAATTTTAGTGCAAGGCTGTTGTTACTACTGTCCTCCTCTCCCTGGGGATAAATCCCAAGAGAATATTTGCAGTATGATGCACACCTGTGTGCGTGTGCTCCTGTGGCAATTATTAAACCCGAAGAAAGCTCTCTGTACAATGGACAGTAACGTACAGAGTGCCAGGGACTGAACCTGCTGTCCCGTGGGACATGTGCCATATGCAAATATGGGTCACATGTGCAAGAGCAGATTTGAGAAGATAAGCTGCTAAACTGGCCTATCTCTGGGAGAAAGTCAAGCTGGCAGACTAAAACAGCTGAGCTAATAACTAAACTGATCTTTAATCCATCTTTGTTGTAAACTGTCTAAAAAGAGATCACTAGGCACTAAGCAGCTTGTGTGGATGAGTTAAATGATAAAACCTGAGAAAAATCCCTGGGAAACTGGGAAAGCCAAAATTTGGAAGCATCAAAACTACTGGAATGGCATCATTGTATCCAGTGCAAGGCACAAGAAAGGCAACCTTCTTTTCTTGCTGCCAGGCAAACAAAACATGGCTGGAGTTACTCTGGATTAGTTCCTTGATCTGGTTTACCATGTGCCCATGCAAATGCAGCAGTCTTGGGAAGAGAAGATGTAACTGGTGATGGTGGGATTGAAGTGTTGTGGCACAGACAGAAAGGGAGCATCTGCTCTGGTTGTTGCAAGGTTTCATAGCTGTCAGAGGGCTGGAGTTGTTGGTGTTGGTGGTGGCTGTTAGGGTGTCTGGAGGTGACTTTGCTGATGCAGTTAAATTTTTTATGTGTTCCCTCTGACAGAGACCAGTCAGAAAGGCCCAGTGGGTGTGCAGCATGAAAACAGGCACCCAAAGCCAAGCCAGAAACGTGCACAGCTCTGCTGAGGTAGCAACATTTCTACTGCATAAATCCTGAGCAGAAAGTCTGCTAATACTGGATGTAGGCAGTGAGTGGCATTGTGGTATCACAGAAGAAGCAGCAGAGCAACAAACTGAGATGATCAGCCACAGCTGAGAGGCTGAGGAGAGGTTGTTCTCAGGATGGGGATCCTACCTGTGTTCAGTGCCCTTTTCATACACCCCTGCACCATAAGCTGTTACACTGCAGCTTTTGGAAATAAGTACCATTTGCCAGTGAATCTTGTGTTGCTCCTTCATCTCTGCCCTGCAGCCCCCAGGGATATGGAAAGCAGGCATGCCTCCTCTCTCCCTGTGGACTGATGTGCCTCCTTCATGTCCTGTAGAAATGCACTGCACAAGTAACAGATTTTGGTGACAGAAACATTTGGATTGGTACGTTTGGACTCACTGAACCGTTACTGGTTTATCATTAAAAGGGACGATGGCGTAGATGGCACTAGAAGAAAGCACACAAATCCTGGGATGTGTAGCAAAGCGAATGTCAGAATGCTGACAGATATCATGGATGGTATTTTAACCTCCTGGGAGAGGAGAATTTTAGGAATCTGAATCATGCAAAGCTGCTCATGGGTGTTTCTGGGTCACTGGCTTGAAACCAGGGCATTCAGGAGCTCCTGCAAGGCTTGCTGAGGGCTCTAGACTGGAGGAATGGAACTGGAGCTGGAGCAAGTTTGATGACTGAGGCTCACAGTCCACACACCACAACCTTCCAGCCTGAGGAAATGCAGCAGAAGGGACATATAAATGTAATGTGACATATATGAATAGGAATATTACTTTGCCAGTCTCCTTCTGTGTTATATTGTCAGTGGTAGAACCTATAAATCACCAGCTCTGTTATGTTTTATTATCTGTAAGTACAGGATAGGGCCAATATTGTTTTAAAATTCAATTTATCACGCTAATTCTAAACCTCAGTGCTGTAATATTGACTTTCTTTTTATTACACAATCCTTTGCCTTCAGGAAATCAGTATAGAAGATGTTAAAGTTGCCACAAACAACGGATGCTTTTAAATACATTTCTTTTTTGCTAACATGATTGTATCATATGGTGGCTGCAAAAATAAGAGAAGTATAAATAAGTATAGTTGGCATTTTGGCCTCAGAATTACAAATAGATTTTTTCAGTTCCCAAGAGCTCTTCGCTCTCGAGGGCCTGTAACAAACCCTGCAGAAATAAGTAGTGCCTGTGTTTGGGATTTTAGGGTATTTTTTGAACAAGTCGTAGCAACTCAGATGGTAAAAATGTGTCTGTCGTTTCTTTAAAAAACATTTCCTGTAAAATCAGCTGGGATTGTTGCCCTGCCTGGGCTTTCTTCTGCTCTGCAGTAACCCAGCACTTCAGGATAAGAAATATGGCTGTTTTAATCTTGTTTTTTCTTAGTAAAACATATCCAGAAAGACTGCCAGTCTTCTCCACTTTGAGGGAAGACTAATTTAAAACCACCTTCATTATGCTGGTAGAACCAGAGAGTTTAAGGTGTTCGTAGATGTTTTGGCACAATAGATCTTTGCCTTTTCTCTTTGTCGTCACAGGAATCAGTTGTTTGCTGGCTGGGTGGGTTTTTCCTTAGCCAATTTCAAAACACACAATGAGTCTCTTTTTTCAGCTTCCTCATCAGAAGATAGATGTAACTGTGTAACAGGCAGATTGAATTCCAGGTATTTCAGCCAACTACGCTGTGCAAGGACTACTCTTGTGGGCTTCTTAGTGATTCTGTTGCATTAATTTTTCATGACCATTTGCAGCAGTACAGATTATCAGCTAGTTTACTGCTAATAAGTAGCAACCATGAAAGTCCAAATTAAAAGCTGCTTTGTAACTTGAAGAGCTCTACCTCCAGCTGATTCTCTCTTTTCCATTACTTGCCATATTCACAATGTTGGTTTTGGACTTGTGTTTTCAGATTATCTTCATGGTCCGAGCTCAGGCAGAAACAGCAAGAGGTAGACGAAGACAGAAGAAGCAGGGACAGACTTTTATTGTTGCAAGTGCTTGATGAAAATGTATGTGAAACTTCAGCTTGAAACCAATTATGCCTCAGCTCTTCACCTGTGGGAATAGAGTTAATAATCTCTCATTGTCTTCCTGTCCTGTCTTCTGCTATTATCTGTGCTACAATCCAAAGGAGCACTGGTTTTAGCAATTTAGCATTTCTATAATAATTGCAGCCACAAATGCAAAGGATTCCACTTAAAATGCTATTCTTCAGAGTGAAACACAATGTTGATATCTCAGCTAACTATAAGTGAACTCTTAACTTTGCATTTTTTAACTAAAAAAAAAGGTTTCTTGTATGCTTTTGTTCCCTGAGAGAACCACAAAACAAAAATACCTGTCTTTTAAATACCCAGCCCCACACTTCCTGACTGACCCAGTATGAGCCACTGCTGCTCTGCACACATTATTTCCTCTCTTTGAAAAAAAAAAAATTTAAAAATTAGCCACAGTCTGGCAATACTGTGCTTTCCCATTGGCCTTATCTCTCATCTTCTGGGGGCAGCAGGCTGCTCTGCATGAGAAGGCAGCTAAAGGCAGAGCAGAGCATCTGTACAGTGAGAGGTGTTGGAGACTTTGGCTTCTCCGGCCCCGGTCTTTTCTCATTCTGTTGACTGATCTCCTTCCCGACATCAAAGCACCTCACTGGTGTCCACCGTAGTAGGAGGCTGAAAACTTTTTGTTTTCTCTCTTTCTGTGTTAGCAAGGATGTTCTTTCGCTGCCTTTTTTAGTTGGGCTTTTTTCTTTGCAAAACGCTGCTGCTGTGGCGCTGCCCGGTGCTGAAGCCTGGCTGTTGTCAGACCACAGGAATCATCAAAAAGCAACTTTGGCTCTTGTCTTTGTGTGTAACCGAGGCCCTCCTGCCACAGCAGTAGCCAAGGTCTTCTCAGCCCACTGGAGATGTCTGTCATCGAGTCAGCAGCTCTGCGTGTCACCTCCATCTGGTGACTGGCTCATGCAGGGAGCAGGATTGTCTTACTTTTCCTTAGAGGTCCCGTGAGGAACCACTTCTCCAGTCACATTTCTTCTTCTCCAGTCATGATTTTTTTAAAATTATTTTTTATTTATGCATTTATTTATTTTAGTGTTAGGGTTTTTTTGTGTATTTTCTTTTTGGTCACATTTTGTCTCGTTTTCAAAAAATGAACTCTGTTTTGCTGTATTGAAACCCTGTTTTGATATAAATATTTGGATTTCATTTTAATCTGTTAAAATCATATTTATTTCTAAATAACTTATCTATAGATCTAGTCATACATTCTTGTTACTTGCATATAAATCAATAGAAAAACTGGTAATACTCAGCTTCACTATTTTTAAAAGAAAAAAATAAAATTTATGCCAATTATCAGTTGTTGACAAAGCAAATCTTCTTTTAATCTATTTCCCTCCAGGGTTTCAAACCACGAGTTGTATTCTGGTCTAACCTTTAAATCCTTAGTTCCATGCTTAAGCCATTTTTGTTCTGACAGCACGTGGCTGAACACAGACTGCCTGTGTGTAATATGCATATTATACATGCATATCTCAACACAGACATGAGTGCTTTCAGTTCTTATGGTTTCAATTTTTATTTTTTCTTCCTAAGGATTAAAGATATTAGATGTTTTCCTTAAAGCCCAGCTGTTGGAATCAGCAGAGTCTCTGAGACTTCTCGTGTTTGTTAAAAGAAAGTAAATTTTGAACAACTCTTTGGTTACAGAGAAAAACTTAAAACAGGAGGTGAGGGCATCCCAGAGGCTTAGAAACCAGAAGGCAGCAAATTCAAAATTTGCCTAAGACAACCAGAAACTGTTACAATTGTTGGTTGATCTCAGGTGGGGGCATTATTAACACATTACCGAGTTATTAACGTGTGATGCACATGAGACAGCGTGAAAAGAGCTGAGCCCACGAGGAGAGGAGAGTCCTGCTGGTTGGAAGTGACATATTTCAGAATTAGTGTTCCACTTTCTTTCTCAGGACTTCCTTTTTTTCCCCCACCTCCTGCTAGCAACAGCCACAACAAAATCCGTCCTTGGGAAGAAGGGAGTGTCATCAAAGGTGACAACTTTTTGCCTTTTGAATTTTAAATTAACTAAAAGGCCCGAGCTGTTGAAAACTTGATTAGAGATTTTGTGTGCTTAAGAAGTCTTAACAGTGAGCTTTCACCCAGGTGGAATCAGAGTACAAAGAGGAAGAAACCTCCGCTTGACACTGCTCATCTCAGCAGTGCATCACTCATTATTCTGCACAGGATTAAAGGTAAGCTCTGTATTGCTGCCTTTGAGACTCAGCAGGGCAGCTATCCTTCGCAAAAATGGGGTTAAATAATTCCTGATGTGTGACAGAAAGCTTCTGCAGAGAAGACAGTTGGGTTTAAATTACCTGGCAGAGCCTTCTGTGTTCCAGCCTTTGTCTTTGGGAAATATTCTGTAGCTTAGCTCCATGATAAAAGGAGTTTCTTAACCATAAAGGAGATTTAAAAAGCATTTTCTTTGAAGGAGGAGATGGTATTTTAATATTACTAGTCCAGTGTAAGAAAAAAATAGGAAACATTTGTGTGTGTGTGAAGTTTTTAAAATCATTACAAACACACACAAGTCCTGGGAGCTCAGCTGAAGCTAACCAAGCTATTTTTTAATTCATTCCAATTTGGAGATCAGGCCAAGAAAGTATTTGCAAATTCACCTTGTGAGGTTCTTTATTCTAGACATTGTCTCCTGTTAAATGAGGGACATGTTAGAAATTTTCCATTGAAATAAGTTTGGTTGGATTTTCTTGTTTTCTTCTCTGTTGGTAAAGTTTGAATTTTGTGTTTATTTTTAAAACATCTCATGGAGTGTCTAAGATTTTTCAGTCAAATGTTCCTGACTGAGAGGTGTTGGCAGCTGGTATTTACAAACTTATTGTGAAGTTTCTGAATTTTGTAGCACAAATCTGTTGATGCACAGGATCTCTAACACTGTATGTTAAGAAGATGCTTATCATAAAAATTAGAACAGAAGGTTTTGACCTTTAATGTGACTCACTCAGTCATGACTACAGTGCATAAAGATAACAGCAGTTGCAATAAAGATTTGCATTCTATACAAATATGCTGATCCTGGAGATACACCAGATGGATGCTCTTCCAAGGCACAGGCATCTGCAAGGCATATTCCTGAGGAGCATCTTTCATTCTACCCCTATTCAGAAATTATCACTCAAGAACATCATTAATATTTCAATCCTATTTTGATTTTAGTGAGATTTTGACATGTGCTTTTTCATGATTACATGCTTATCTGCATTAGGACCAGGGTGCTCCCTCCATCCCCAGAGAATTCTAGTCCTTTAATTAGCTAGACAGCTTTTCAAAACTTTTCTGATGTAGCATGTGTCGGATTAAAGCTGATTTTTACATGAGTGAGCACAGATGCAAGGAACTTCTTGTCCCTTCCTGTGTGCCCTGAGGGAAGGCCTTAGACAATAATAAATCCCTGCAATCAGCCATGTAGAAAGTAGAGAAAGACCTGGGCTACCACTGTTTCATGGTCCCAGAAGAGCTTCCACCAGTAGAAGCAGAATCAGTGTTGGGAAGACTTCAGCAGAACGGGAGGAAAATGGAAAATAAGCAGCGAGAGAGCACTTGGTGTGTGTTCTTGTGAGGGCAGCACACTGTGAGACCCCACCACAGCTCCCCGTGAGGAGTGAGGAGCAGTGGCTAAAGCTCTAATTCAGCCCTGCTCAGCACTGTGCCCAGCCTGACTTAACTTACCCTTCCTAAGCCTCTCCGAGTTTACAGGGATAATGAGAGAGAGCAGGAGGCTAAAGCAGATGATAACAGAGCCTCTTCTCTCCTTGACTCGCCTGTGGTGCTGCTCTGCAATGGGAAAGAAATGAAAGGTTCAAAGTTACCAAGGGGGAAGAACCAGGCTGGTTCTTGCTGAGTTGCAACTCACTTGAAACTGTTGTTAAATGATGGTTTTTTTCCAGTCTTTCCCACTCAAAAATCACATCATTTTTTAATGAAAGATTTTTGTGTACTTGGCGTAAAAAGCACAGTAGGAAAATTTTCCAGGTTCCCCGCAGAGCCTCCTGCAGTTTTCCTGTTCTGTCAAGGCCTTGGTAACATTGGTGTCAACTCACTGTTGATAGTACTGGTAATGAGCTGCTGGCATTTTATCACTCTGCATGTAGTGGCTGTAGTATTTAACATTTCCTCTGAAGGTGTGATTACAGACCCTCCGAATACACTGGTGTTTTATATAGCCTCAAGACACTGAGTAAATAGCTAGATAGCATGTGTATAAAAATATGACAACTTTGTTCAAATGTTTTTGCATGTATGTTTAAAAAGGTTTTTATTGATCATCCCAGCACAGTTTTCGCTTGACTGAAACTTCTGAAAAAATAATTCTGACAAATGAAAAGTTTCCTTGTAGCATGCTGAGCTTTGCTATGACGAAATGCCCTTCCAAAGTCAGGACATTAAGTATAAAACCTGGCAGCCATGATCTGCCCAAGGCGTGTAACTGCTGTGAGATCTTTGGCAAACCTCCTCATTCTCTGGGCCTGATGCCTTGGAAATGGGAAATAATGATTTCCATTCTTTTTTAAGCATTGTTTTGACATCTGCAGATGCAAATTGTTACAGAAGTTGTAAGGGACAGGACTATATTTTGTGTATGAGGCCAGCGGGCAGTAACTCCTTGGAAGTTTTTTTTAAGTCGGTGCTTGCAAATAGCGAGGAACTGGGTGACTGAACTAGGAGAAACTGAACATTTGAGGCCTCAGACAAACATTTCAGCAGGCAATAGGCCAGCCACTTACAAGTACAACCTCCCTTCCTTCATTCCAGCTTTTCCGCTACTGACTTAAGTAGTTTACTTTAAGTCGATATTTACTTTTAAATATTATGATTAAGTGACAATAATTTACCAAGATTAAAATGAAACTCTGATAAGAATGGAGCCAAGTATACATCAGAACACTTCCTATGAGAAACACACTTTTTAAGGAGCCTGAACTCTGTGTGCTGAGAAGATGTGCTGGGGGTGTCGGACCTGTCACATAGTACGATAGTGTTTGAAGGTGAGTCTCATGTGAAGTTCATTACTTGAGCTGGACAACGTTCTCAAAGGTCAGCTTTGCATCACAGAGGCCCTTTGAGACACTTAAGGTGATCACTAAAACCTGATCAAGGCTTCCCAGAGTAGCTGAAGCAATGCCATGAGGAAAAAAAAAAAAAAAGAGAAAAAAAAAGAAAAAAGGAAGAAAGATTTTATTCTACTTGCTAACCTTCTCCTCTTTTAAACACACAGGCTTTGCTGGGGCCAGATTCTTCAACTCAGATGGAGAACTAATTTCCCCACATCTCTCCTCAGCATACCTATACAGGATTTTTTGCTACAGAAAGAGAACTGAAGATGTCACCTGATGATTATCTGTGACTGTGAGGTCCATTGTCCTTACAGGAAGTTCTGTTGTCTGCCTGGGGTTTTGAGGTTTGAAAGTTGGATGGCAGAGTTGCTGATTCTGATGATAACTCAGATCTTCTGTTGTGATTGTGAGGCTGCCTGAGTACTCTTATTTGTGGTGTAGTGGATGTGCTCAGTAACAGTGGGTGTTTCTGAGAGTTACTATTTTATTGGTTTGGTTTTGAGGATTGCTTGCTCCATCTTTATGGCTGGGAATTTGTTATGGGATTCAATGTTATGATCTCCACTGCAGCTGTGATTTTCTCCCACATATGTACTTTCTCTGACTATATAATGACTCTTCAGCTTTAACAGAATTTTATCAGGTAAGTCCAAGGTTGCACAAGGAACGTTGGGAATTGGTAGGTTTTAGTGGTCCTTTCAGAACACCACTGAGGCACAACCATATGTATGTCTAGACCAAAGTCCCAAATCCTTTGCAGCAGTGTTTAACTTTGGCAGCAAAGCTCTGAGCGTGACAAAGATGATCAGCTGTGTGCCTGGGTGGCTTTGTGGGTTGTTCAAGGGTGGTTCCTGTGCCGAAGCTCTGCCATATGACTGGTGAGGAGACTGTTGGTACCTGGCCAAGTGAAGCAGAACCAGGAGGGGCTGCTGAGGCTGTTGTTTGCTGGAACTTGGATTCTCTGTCAATGGACCCAAATGACTTCTGGATCTGAGAGCTGGGATTAAGACATTACTGTTATCTCCTGCTTGTATAATGCCCAGGATCACCTGCACCTTTAGCTTTCTGTGGTGTGTGGTGTGTACAGATGTTTGGGTGTTAGCTTTTGCAGCTGTGGAAGTTGGCCTCTTGGCACATGCATTCTGCCTCTGTTCGTATCATTTCAAAAGCAGCTTCAACATAAAACACTGAAGGCTTTAAAGACAAAGAGCAAAAAATGAAGTATAGGAGAGACACCAGGACATGATTGAGACATATTATACTATTCTCATTCTTTGACTGTTGTGGTTTCTGTAAGATGATGTTCTGTGAATTTGTAACTGAGTGACACGTTATAAAGAGAGAAACTTTTCCCAGGTTTGGCATCTAGAAAAACGTGAAGAGGAGTCCCAGCCCGGCTTTCGCTGCTCAGGGAGGGCACGGGAGGGCAGGGGAAGGCACGGGAGGGCAGGGCCGGTCCCGGGCGCGCTGAGGGACCCGGCGCCCTCGGCCGCCCCGCGCCTGTGGGTGGCAGCGGGGTCAGGAGGCACCGCCCCTTCCCGGTGACGGCAGAAGCAGAAGTGGAGCCCCGAGAGGCGCCGCGGGACCAGCAGCGGGACCAGCGGCGGCACCGGCAGCGGCGGCACCGGCACCGGCCGGCACGGCCCCGCCGCCGCACGGAGCTGCCGCCGCCGCGCAGGTGAGCGCGGCCCCGGGGCAGGGATGCCCCCGGAGGGGCGCTCCCCCGACGGCAGCAGGTGCCGCGGGGCCGGGGCGGGGCGGCGAGCCCGGGCGTGAGGGAGGGTCTGGCGGGGAGAGGCGGGGGCTGCGGGCGTGTGCGGGCTCGGGGAGAGCGACGGGCAGCCCGCGAGGGGTGAGGGAGGGACGTGCCGGGGGGAGAAGGGACGGGGAGGGTCGTCCCGCGGGGCGGAGGATGCCCGGGCTGCAGGGGACGGGGCAGTCGGGGCGCTCCCCGAGGGGGCTCGGAGGGGACGCTGCCTGGCGCCCCGTGTGTGGCCGCTCTCCGCCGCAGCCCAGCCTGGGGAAGAAGAAGGAAGGAAACCTCCAGAGTGTGGCGTGTCCCTGACAGCAGCCCAGCCACTCTCAGCCCTGCCGGGGCGAGGGCCCAGCCGGCCCGGGGCAGGTGGGCACCGTCTTGCTGCGGTTCCCCTCCCCTGCTCGTCGCCAGACCGCAGGACTCCCAGGGCGACAGCTGCATCGCAGGAGCTGCACACTGATTGTTATTAATTATTGGTGCTGTGGGAGTGCACTGGTGTTGCTGGTGGATATCCATACTGTGATAGTGTTGCCCGCTCGGGTTAGGAGGTGTCCTAAACGTATCCAAAGGCAGAGCTCGGATGCAACAGCCCCTTTGCAGTGCCCAGAGCACGTGGGAAAACTTGGAAATTGACCTGGAGTCAAACTTTGGATGGCACTTCTTGGGTGACCTTGTGTGCCTGGAAAGCACCTGCTTTGTCATACTGGTGAAATTATAACAGAGTATGGATTCATTCGTGCTTATCTGAGATGTTCTTTGCTAGCTTGTACATTTATAGTTTGCCTTTACTACAGTTATTCCTCGCTTTCTGTTATCACAAAGAAAGTTAGGGGCTGTAGACTGATCTTCAGTTAAGAAGGGTTTGTTTCTGAAAGTCTGAAGTAGTGTAATGAAGTAAAACTAAATATACAGGTTTTTGGATAGATTAAGTGGTTTGTTTTTTCATGTCCATGTTCACTTGGTTAGTTTCAGTGAGCCTTTTAGACTTTTTAGTCCAAATCTGTCAGGTTTTTCAACTAAAAAGTGTCAAAACAGCTCTTACACAAACAGCAATAAGCGGTCCCAGTTCTACACATGGTACAGGACACCTTCAAAATTTAACTCCTGTAGTTCCTACAGTCAAAGGGAAAGAGTCATGGATTGGTGTCTGTGTCTAGAGCTTATGGCATGCTTTTGTGATTATTAACTTACTTGTTGAATCCTGTGAGTGATGCTGGACCTTTCTACTTTAGGCTTCAGTAACTTTTCAGTAGAAGAGCAGTAAAGCTTCTATTGCACACAGCATGTAGTAGTTCACACTCTGCTGGGCTAGAGGCATCCAGGTGATGAGGATCATTATGAAATTCTGCTGCATGAATGAGTAGAAATATTCTTAATTCAAATAGTTGTGCAGTCATGGGTGTAGGGAGGCTGAGGGGCACCTGTGGGTGAGTGTAAGGCATCTTTTAAAGGTTAGGCCTAAAGCCAAGGGCTTATGTTAGTTCCTTTACTCTTAGGCAGTGCTCTGTGATGTTACTCTTAAACTGGAGCAGGTAACTAGAACATTCTGGAAGCGGTCACTTGGGTTGGTCAAATATTGCAATATTCCTTCCATCTTTTCTGACAGAGTGGGTATCCTCAGCTACAGTATTGTTCCACAGTAAGTTAAAAACTTGGCCTGTGACTTAGGATTTAAGTTAGACTAAAACCACTGTTCTCTCTGGTTTTGGAAGAAAGAGCTGCTTTAAAAGAGGAAGTCCAGTCTATTCTGTTCGGCGGAAACTGTTTAAGAAGCCACCTCGGAAAGGCAGTTCCTTTGTACTGAGGGACTTATCTCTCAAAAAACCTGCTGCCTTGCCTTTTATTAAACAGCTGTACTTAGAAACTCCTTTTCTTGTTGTTCTAAGTCATGTTTCGTTTGACAGCTACACCTTGTACTGTAAAAGGCCGAGCTGATGTATATTTCTCTACAGTCTCCTAAAAAACTATGCCAATTTAGAAGTTCAGATGTTTATTATTGCAGCGAAGTGTTACTAAAATGGTTAAACCTTGTTCCAAATCGCAGCATGTTCATTTTATTACAATTCTTAATGAAAAGAGCAAAGTGAGAAGACGGGTTTTATTTGTCAGAAACTGTACAAAGATTTTAATTTAATTTTTTGCTTTCCCTTCCTTTCATTTCTTGTTAATACCAGTCATTGTAGCAAGACAAGATGACTGTGGGTGTCTTGTTAGGTGCAAACCTGTGATAATTCAGATGATTCTCTGGTTAGTTCTAGAGAGTCTGAAAGGATCAGTTTTACATTTTGGCTAAACCAAAAAAATCTGCTGTTGCTTATGACACTTAAAATTGTTCACTCCTTCTGAGTTGTAGGATTGAAGTGTATTTATATTTTCAGTATTATAAGGAAAGAGTACTCAATTTTTTTAATTACCATAACAACATTATTGATATAAAACCCCAAATAATGTGTATAATGTTTTGCAAAACATGGTGTGAGATGCTGCTGTGGAGCACTTCAGGTTCACGGTGGGCAGTGCAGAAGAGGCCACCCTGCAGCTAAAAAGGGACTGTTGTGGCTTCTCTGTTAGTATACAAAAAAAAAAAAAAAAAAAAAAGTTATTTTGAAGTGGTCAAATTTAAAAAGGGATTGCAAAGACTGCACAGACAGCTTCAAAGTCAGATCACCCTGAAAGCAGCTGGTGATGCTGAAAGGCAGATTAGCGGCTTTAATGAGAGGGAGCAGAAAAGGGGCAGGTCAGGAGACAGTGCACGGGGTGAGGGGGAGGAGGGCTGGAAGAAGTCACGAAGGGGAAGCGAGAAGTGCCATGGTCGAATTAGCCATCGACACGGAAACTGAAACTGCCTGCGAGGGAGAGGAGTGGACGAGGAGAGGGGGAGAGAACCACGGGAGATGCTGTGCCTGGTGGCTGCATGTGCAGCTCTTTTTAAACCTGCCCTGCTCAGGGGTGAGCTTAAGGAGGATGGCTGGGAACTGTGTGGCAGCAGCCCCTGCAATTTGTGTGAAAATGATATTCATGGATGAAAGAGCAGGTTCCAGAGCACCCTGTTAGTAAATAATCTCACTGAGGAGTAATCAGGCTTGTAATTAGCTGTTTGAGGCAATGATGTGTGGGAGACCAGAGCACAGAAAGTTGGTAATATTTGCAAGAGCTGCTGTGTGCACATCTGTCTTTTGGCTGTTTGGTGTCCCAAGTGTGTGCACACAAATATCACGTGGGTACCAAAAAGAAGAGTGTGTAGGAGAAACACAACCCTGAAGTTTTAGAAGTGCATAAACTGAGACTCTTCAGATATAGACAACATTTGTTTCAGTGTTGGTATTTACTCATGTTTTCCTCTCACTACAGCTCTCAAAAGCACAGTTACCTGGTTTGAATTCTCGTATTAGCTCTCATACAGGTTTAAATTCTAATATAGTGCAAGAGTTTATGCCAGCTGATGTAATTCTTTCTTGTGCTGTCTTGTCATTGGATTGCCAGGCTTCAGTCATCAGCACTTCCTTGCTCTTCCTGATGTAATATCAAGAAAACAGTAACGCTGACAGCAGAACCTGTGAGGCTTCTCAGATTTTAGAGGTCTCTTTGGGCAGCAAACTGATGCAAGAAGAGCAAACCTGCTGCAGTTCACCTGGGGACAGCATTTTGGCTATTGGAAGATAGCATTGGGAATATAAAAAACAGTAATCCTGGAAAAGTAGAAAGAGTATGATTCAAATCTGTTGCATATATCTCCTAGGTTGTCAGGACATAGGACAAGATGGATTTCCAGATATTTCTTCCAGTAGTATCAGTTTCAAGAATGAGAAGTTTTAAATTCCACCTTGCATAGAACTCACGAGGTTTTTTATGGAACATAATTCTACAGGTGCCCTAAACCAATAAGGAAATTCCTATAGGAATGGTGATGTTTGTTAAGAGTCTCTCTGTCAATTAGAGAGTCTCTGTGAGCAAAGGTATCTCACTGTATAAAATAAATAAAAGCAGATCTGATGCTTGGAAGGAGTTTGGTAGGATCAAAGTAGGATCAAAGTGCACATTTTTTGATGTCTTCAGAGACTCTTGAAGTCATCAAATCAAGATAAATATAGTCAGGGTTGGAACTTTGTTTGAGGAAGTATCTCTTTGGACCTGCCAGTGACACTTGCCATTTTCTGGGGAAAACCCACTATTGCTACTTGAAGGCATCAGAGGTGCATTCTTGCTGCTTAGTGCTTTGAGGTGGTAAAAGTGCATTTGGACAGAACATGTGATGTGTAATGCTTGTATTTTATATTTGATGTGCATGTATAATTTGTACAGAAACCCTGCTAGGTATACCCAAAAAGGATT